TCCGGGCGTCATACGCAGCACGCGCACGGCGGCCTTCTGCCTACAATTGTACTTCGCCTACATCGCACGGGACGTGGCGCGCTTCGGCATCGCCTCGCGCTCCGTGATGGCGCGGCGCCTCGTCGCGGCAGCCCTGCTGCTGCTCATCCCGACGCGCGGCGACGACGGCGGCCGCTGCCACATCGAGGTCGTCGTCGACGGCGCCGCGCGGCGCCTCGAGACGTCCGTGCCGCCGCCGGAGCGCCCCGAGCTCGTCGCCGGCGCCCGCGACTTCGCCGAGGACCTGGGCCTCGCGACGGGCGCCGGCTGCGACACGGTCGGCTGCGTCGCCGAGCGGCTCGCGGACATGCTCGGCGCGCGCTGCGCCGCCGACGAGTACCGGCGCCGGAGCCGCCGCGAGCCGCGGTGCCGGGCGCTCGGGCGCGCTACGGCGTGCGCGGAGCTCGCGCCGCCGCTCCTCCAAACAACAGAAGCAGCCGCGGGCGCGCACTGCGTCGTGGGCCTCGCTAGGACCTTCCCCCGCGTCGCCGCGTCCATCGCCGACGCCGTCGCGCCCCTCGGCGCCGCGGACCTCTTCTTCGTCTTCGGCGGCGCGCAGGCGTCGGCCGCGCCGGACGCCGCGTGGCGCGGCGCCTTCGACCGCTTCCCGCAGATCGCCCAGTTCGTCGTCGACGACACCGGCGGCCAGCTCCAGAAGCTCCAGCTCTGCTTCGGCCACGTGCTCGCGGCCGAGGCCGCCGCGGGCCGACAGTACGCCTGGGTCGCCAAGCACCGGCCGGACCTCCGCTGGACCGCGCCGCTGCCCGCGGCGCTCGCGCGGACGCGCGACGTCGTCCACTGCTACAACCTCGCCGGCGTCTGCCCGCGGGCGAGCGTCGGCGAGGGCTGGCCCTGCGACGTGCCCAACGCGGCGAACGCGACCTTTGTCAACGGCGTCGCCGCGGTGCCCGTCTGCGCGCCCGTGTTCCAGGTCGCCATGGCGCGGTCCCTACCGGCGCAGGACCGCGCGGAGCGCCACCTCTACAAGGGCCTGGACCTCGCGCGGGACCTCGCGCGCGCCGCGGAGCCCTTCTCCGACGCGTTCGCCGAGTGCGCGCTCGACTTCCTCGCGTGGACGTGCCGCGCCTACGACGCCTACCTCGAGGCCTGGGCCCGGGACGCCGCGCCCCGGGACGCCGCCGGCCGCCTGCTCGTCGACGCCGCGCCGGCGGCGCCCGCCTGGGACGACGGCAGCGCGGCGCACGCGCTCTACGCGGCCGTCGCCGCGCGCGACGGCGCGGGCGCCGCGCGCGCGCTCGCGCGCCTCGGCGACGCCTACGCGGCGGCGCTGCGCTACGCGACCCTGGGCGTCGACGGCCAGGGGCCGGGCTCCGCGGCCTTCGGGCCCTGGTCGTCGCACGACGACAAACGGCCGCCGCGCGTGCCGTTCCTCGACGCGCAGTGCGGCCCGCGCGCCGCGTGCCGGCGCCCGGGCGGCGGCCCCGGCGCCGCCTACGCCGCCGAGCTCTGCGCGCGGTCCTTCGCGCCGGACGTCCTCGCGTCGCCTTTCTACTTCCGCGCGGCGCCGCTCATGGAGGGCGTCGCCGGCTGCTCCGCGCGCCACCTCCTCGCGCGCGCGGCGGTGACCTGGGGCGGCGGGGTCGAGTGGATTGAGGCTCGAGCCGGCCGTGCCGTCTAGCCGCGTCCACAAGGAACGAGTGGCTCGCCGGGGGTCTCGAGGCAACCGATAGAGCGCCGCGGCCCCCGGGCCCGGCCCCTCAAAAAAATAAACGCGCCCTTAGGAGGCCTCAGTACTTGGCGAGCCAGGACGCGACGCCGATGAGGCCGCCGAAGACGTTGCCCCAGACGACGAGCCAGCCGAGGTGCTCCCGGATGACGACGCTCATCATGTGCTTCACGCGGAGGGGCGTGAGCGTCGTCATGCGCTCCGTGAGCACCTTGTCGATCTCGCCGCGGATCGTCTTCACGTCCATGAACTCCGTGACGTCGAAGTTCTGCGCGAGCGTCTCTCGAGGCTCCCGCCACGCGGAGGCACCCCCAGCAGACCCCGATTTTGGGGTAAACCATAGCCGCGCTTAAAGGACCGTTGTCCCGTCGAAACACCCCGATTCCTCGTCGATCTAGCCTCTTTTATGAGTTTCTGCTAAAAGATCGTTGCGAGGTGCTCTGTGGCGCGGGACGCGCGCGGCGGGAGACGACGGCGAGCGCGGAGTCACCCGTCGCACGCGGCGACGGTCTTGGCGTTCTCGGCCTCGGACAGCACGACGAGGCGTCCGTCGACGGCGGCAAAGGCCGCCGACAGGCCCGTCCTGGGCTTGTCGGCGGGCGCCGGCGCGTCTCCCGCGTCGTCGAGCTCGACGCCCGTCTTCCGGACCATCCGAGCTTCGACGGCGCGGAGCGTCGGCTCGAGCTCAAACGTGCGGCGGGCCGGGTCGTCGTGGACGCGGGCGAGGTCGTGGCAGTAGACGAGGAGGCGGCCCTTCTTGAAGTTGATGCCGTTGATGGTCTGGTCGGCGCGGAGCGTCTGACGAGAAGTTGACTTTCGGAGAGTCAGGTAGAGTCAGGTCCGGCTATCGACGCGGGGTCATTCCCACTTAAATGGCCACCGACACCCCACCGACAGACGCCGGCGAGCGTCGTCGCTCGGTTGTCCGGTCGTCCCCGGAGGTACCGTTTTCGGGGTTTTATTCGCGCGCGAATGCGGCCGCGGAGCGACGCGCGGCCGCCGCGCGGAACGCGATCATCGAGTGGTCGGATTGGACATCGGATTCCCATCCAACGCGTCGGACTCGTCTTAGAACGCGTCACTACGGGTGGTTTCTACGGAAGCCACGCTACTGGGGGAGCCTCCGCAGAGCCGGAGCCTGTACCGCCACTGCGTAACCTCGATAGTTCACCCTCACACGGCAGGGCAGTCCAACTAGGCTGCCTCCCCGTGTCGGAGCTTACTATCTCGCTACATCTTACTTATAGGCATGTTGTTTCCAGCATAAACTGATTCCAGATTTATTTCCTATTTATTTCCTATTTAACAAAAAGTAGTATTGATCGAAAAGCCAACATCAGATTCTGCTCCTGATATGCGCGCGCTCGGCGCCGTCGCGGCGCTCGCGCTCGCGCTGCCCCCGGGCGCGCCGATGATCGTCCGCATCGCCGAGACGGAGTACGACGTCGACGAAGCCGTCGTCTTCGACGACCATCGCGCGCTGCCGTCGCTGCTCGCGGACTTCAGGGAACTCAACGTCGACTGGCCGTCGCTCGGCTTCGACGGCTGCGCGTCGGCGGACTGCGCGGCGGCGGGCCTCCTCGCGGAACTGAGGCGCAGACGCGTGACCATCGCCGACGACGCGCGCGGGTTGATCGTGAAGATCGCGGCCGTGGGCGAGATTCTCGTGCCGCGCGACGCCCGCGGCTCCCCGCCGACGGAAGGCGACGTGTCGACGGCGCTCCGCGCCTGGGACGTCGACGGCGCGCGCGACGTCGCGGCCGCCGCCGCGGCCGCCGCCGCCGCGCGGCCGCCGACGACCGCCGACGCGGCGCTCCCGCCCTGGCCCGTCGACCGCGCCGCCGCGGGCGAGGACCGGCCCATGCCCGGCTGCCGCGCGCCCAACGTGGAAAATTGCCGGCGCTACGTCGCCATGCAGCGCAAATTCTACGACCCCGCGGCGCAGGAGCTCGTATCCGGGAACCACGTCATCCACAACGACGCCGCGGAGTACTGGGGCATGATCCTGAAGCCCGTCGTGCGGGACCCGCGCGTCTGGCGGGGGAAGCGCGCCCTCGACGTCGCCTGCGGGGGCCGCCGCAACGTGGCGAACCTGCTGCGCCTCGCGGCCTGGGACCGCGTCGACGGCTGCGATTTGGTGGCGCGGCACGTCGAGGGCGCGCTCGCCTTCGTCGGCCGCGACGGCTGGGACCGGTCCAAGTTCCATGCGTGGCAGTCGGCCGGCGCGGGGCTCGCGGCCACCGACGGCCGGGCCCCCGCGCCCGTCGACGAGTACGACTTCGTCATGTCGACGATCGCGCTGCAGCACATCTGCGTCTACGTCGTGCGCCGGGGCATCCTCGAGGACA